CAACCTTCCCTTATCAAATTCTCTAAGACTAGGGGAGGGAGCAGCCCATGTCCCCAGGGCAATTCTTTGGCCTTATGCCCCTCCTGGTGCCGGCCCCAAGTAGAGATGGAACAGGAACTCATTGTGCAAGTGGCAGCTGCATGGTCTGGCCACTTTCTCCTGCTCTCTCCGCCTATTCCTCCTCATCTGCATAAAAGCGCTCACGAGGACCCCTCCCTCAGGGCCAATGGTCTGTGCTGAGGAAGAGGAGGAGGAGAGCAGGACAGCAAGGAGGGTGGGGCAGGGGTGGAGAGAGGTTGGGAGGGATAAGCGGGAGGTGACCTGGTAGATACTGGAGCTGAAGGTCTCCCAAGAGGGCAGGGCCTAGGAGGTCGGGAAACAGCGAGGGCATGGGACGTGCAAATATGTGCCAAGACAGGGACAGCTCAAGGCAAGAAGTGGGCTGATGGGGCGCAGGGCCTTGCCTGGAGTTCTCTCAAGGGCCCCTTCCCTGGCTCGGTTTCCAGTCACACGGGTGAACTTGGTCTTGCCCAGCCCAGCTCTGGCCCCTCAGTCTCTTCCTCAGCCCCGTTCACACCTTCCGGAAGGCTCGCCATTCCCACGGGCTGCCCAGCCGGAGCTGAGTCAGACGGAGCCCCGAGTGCGGGGCTGCCCAGCTGCTACAGCGGCGCAGGCAGTGCTGGGCTGAGCGCGCCCTCTAGCGGCCTGTTTCCTCTCCGCCTCTAGAGGGCGCTGTTGCAGATGAGCGCCTCCCCCATCCTTGGACTTCTTACCCACCCTCCCTCCTGTCTGCTCTGCCCTTTCCCTAGACAGGGACTTCAGGGAGTTGGGGGAGGCTGATAGAGGGCAAGTGTCCCTGAGGACTGGGAGGAAAAGGAAATCACCCTGAAGTTTCTTTCTCCTCTCATGCCCCCTGGGTCTCTGGAGTTGAGAGGTTGAGTGGAAGGGTGGGGAGGGCATTCGGGGAACCCAGAGGGAAGGCCAGGGGCCCTCTGTGAGCCCAAGGTGTCATCTTTCCTGCACGGACACCCCCACCTCATCACCTGTCCCCCATGTGCCCTTCACCTCCCACCCACCACACACCCACCTGAGCCCCTCATCCCAGCCCCTGGTCACACACCTGCCTGACCACCATACTCCAGCCTTGGTTTGTTCCTCCTGGTGTATGCAATGCAACAAAGTGATTCCCTGGGTGGCCACCAAGCCAGACTGGGGAAAAGTGGTTGGGGAGCCTGGGCCACTGGCACTGAAGCTAGGCCATGCCCCTCTGTCCCAGGTGGTCTACCTGCACACCAACAACATCACCAAGGTGGGCGTCAACGACTTCTGCCCCGTGGGCTTCGGGGTCAAGCGAGCCTACTACAACGGCATCAGCCTCTTCAACAACCCTGTCCCCTACTGGGAGGTGCAACCAGCCACCTTCCGCTGTGTCACCGACCGCCTGGCCATCCAGTTTGGCAACTACAAAAAGTAGAGACAGCAGCAGCAGCCTTGTGGTGGCCTGGGCCAGGTCCCTGGGGAGTACAGCAAATGTCCTGAATTGGGGAAGCAGAGCAAGGGAGCAAAACCAGTGCCCAGCTGCACCCAACCCAGCCCCACCTGACCCCCAACCCC